TTTCATAGCCTGGCTTACTTCACTCAGCAATAGATCCTCTATATCTGACCATATCTGACCATTCTATCAAATGCCAGGGTCTTGTTATTTTTTATGACTGAGTAGTATTCCATAGAGTATATATACCACACTTTTCCAATCCATTCATCAGTTTGTGGACATTTAGGTTGGTTCCAAGTCTTGGCAATTGTGAATAATGCTGCAGTAAACATTGATGTGCAAGCACTTTTCTGGCCCCCTGAGGAGTCTTTGAATGGTGACTATTATCAGCCCATGGAATGTGGCAAACTGTACCATAGATATGATATGCAGAGCCAATCATAGTCAGCCCAGTTTTGACTAAATGAATCATAAAAAAATTATGGAATTAATCTACTATCCTCCTTAATATGACAGGCTTTGGAAAAGATGCTTTGCTAAGTATTCAGGGGCTACTCTAAATAAGGCTTCTGCATTTTTAATGGCTCGATAAATAATGCTCTTTCTAAATCTGTTTCAGCAGAGGTCACAAAACAATGGTTTTTCTACCTTCTGGAGTGAGAAACTAGACCAATGAAAGGAGCTTGCAAGGAGCTGGCTGTGACCTGGTCTGGGATGCTCAGCTGACCATCCACCTCTTGTCTGGCTACTGGTGATGGGAGAGCCTGGGGACGAGCATTTGTGGGCTAAGCCTCAGCAAGTACACTGCTTCCCTCTCTCGGCCAGTGAGACCAGATGGGTAAGGCAGCTTCATCTTCTAGCCAATGGTGGTTGGTTGATACAATGGATCTGAGATCTGACTTGAAACCTGAGGAATCTGAAAGGAGAAAGGCTGGTTGAAGGGGCCTAGAGTATGGCTGGAAAGTAACTGCTCTTGACCAATGACTGTGAGTGGATCAGGGTTGTCTTAGATCCTCCCAAGATGGCTGCCTTGAGGAACAAGATCTCAACAGAAAGGAGCTGAAGATATCGGGGTAGAGGGAATGGAGATTAAAAAGTTTGTGGAAGGGACCAGCAGATGGCATAATGGTTATGTCGCTGGACTTTCACAGTTGACCATGGTTCTAGTCCCAGACCCGGTGGGTTAAAACTCACATGGGGTGTGTGTGTGTGTGTGCCCAAAATCCCCAGAGAAGAATGGAGAAGAAGGGCTATCCCCCCTGAAGAGATTTCTCGCTTCCTGTCTCTCCATCTCTGCAGGGAGCACACATGCCCTGCAGCAAACAGTGTGTGGAAAATGGAATTAAAACGTGAATTTATTTTGGTGCAAAAATAATAGTTTGAAATCCATGCATAGTTTTTTCAAAATATACTTACTAAATGAACTTTTTTTTTCCTTTTAAATTTGCCAGAGGGGTTGGGGTAGGGGCGAAAGCAAGCCCCCCAACCCCCGATGAGGCATGGCCACACCGCAATCCTTTCTCCTTCATCTTTCCATCCTTTGGGGACCTTGGGCACACAGCACATAGGCTTGGCATGCCCTTTTAAGCCACTGGGGGAGGGTCTCGAACAATATAGTCAGTTATTTGGGATCCAGCTCTCCCAACCACCAGGCCATGGGATTAGCCCACTCATGAAATGTTTGAAAACCCTTCAGTAGACTATGAGATTGTCGGAAACTGAGGATGTCAGCCCAGGGGCATGTATTCTCTAGCTTTGAGGAACATAGGGGAAAATTTTGGAAGGGGGCTGGGCTTGGGCAGAGATTTCAGAAAAATGTCCCAAGCATTTCATGAGAAAACATCACTGTCCTGCCTGGCCAGAGAAATCAACACCAGATTACAGTACTGTTGGTCACAACTTTCCCTTTCTTTACCACGGCTCTAAATCTGGAGGAGTTAGGAACCAATACCAGTGAGCTGATATAAGATGGGAAAAAACACAGGCTTTGGAAACAGGAAAGAAACTAATCACTTGCTTCTTGGAGCAGGCCTGGTATGAGGGAAGGGCGAAGCTTTAATACCATCACATGATACTCAGATTTTTGTCAAACAGGATGGACATTTCAATTATAGGCATCACAGAGTTAACGTCACCCACCTGTTTTTGAAAATCAGATACTCAGCATCAAAATATTAACTAGAATCCTATTTCATGTTATCTTAAATAGGACAAAATTATAATGTATTACATATCGATCATAATTGCCAACCAATTAAAATTTATTTATTTATTTATTTGTTATGATTTTCAAACCATCAGGTCTGAGACTTGAACCGTGGTTGGTCATGTGGGAATCCAGTGCCTTAACTACCATGCTACCTACTGGCCTTCCAACCAATTTCTTAAACTGTGACTAAATATTTATCTTCCTACTTTGTACAATTTCCTAAAATGTAACCAAACACATTTATTGCATCTCTATGCATGTGTAAATATGTCTGATAAATATTTATGTTGGGATAGAAACCTTTAAGACACTGCTTCCTGATCACCAAATAATCTACATAGCTGTCAACAAACAGTTGCTTTGCAGGCTGTGATGTTTCTCTCAGCACAGCAATGTCCAAGGCACACTTCAGTTTACAAAATCTCTACGTGATCCCAATAAGCTAACAAACTGTATTTGTAATGTAACTTCAGACTGTCCCCACACAACACCTTACTTAAAATACTGTATCAAGTATGGGCAATATAAGCAGACATGGCTAGAAATGTACATGTTGATGGAGTTGGGAAAGGAAAATTCAAGAGACATTCTATTTAAAACAAAACAAAACAAAAAAAAACCCATCAACCAAAAAGACCTGACAGGAAAGCAAATGAAGGGGCTCTCTGAAATGAGAGAGACTAGGAAAATCATGGGACCTGCCCTGGATTTTTACCCAAAAGAGGATGCAGACGTTTCATGGAGTGACTTAGAAGAGACAGAGAGGAGAGAAGACAGTTCTTTGAGCATGCTAAAGAGTCCTGTTGTTTACATAGCCAGATTAAACATTTGCCAAATCATTATACAAAGGAGATATAATGTATTCACAGTAAATATATTTAAAACCTCATAATCCCTGTCTTTCAGCATTGCCACAGGAAACTGCTCTATACGATAGGCCAAATACTCTAAAACTCATGGTGCTTAATATATATATATAAGCACTCCGTTTATTTCAACCACCTACTCTGGAGTTCAAGAAAATGCAAAGTACATCTAACTCACTGTAAAGCTGTAAAAATATTAGAAATATTAAATGGTATTACTTTAGATCCTTTTTATTAATTCCTGTAATTTTTATTTATGTTGTTTCTTTACTCAGAGCAAATCTCTATCCTGACAATTGCACACGTTTTTCAGTAGCCTAAAGATCCTAGCAGGTAACTGATCTCCACATCAGGGTCCTCGAATCTCCATAAACCTCTCCTGAAGGGCACTGCAGTGCTCTTCAGGAAAAGGTCATGCACTACAACTATTCTAAAGTAGCAAAGGACAGCACAAAATTACTTTCCGCTCTACTTCATAGACAGATAATATAAAATTATTGTGCTTTTTAAAAGAATAGCAAACTGTCAAGTGGGAATATTTTCCACAGCAATTGAAGGATCATAGATGGAAAAAGTATCTACACAATTATAACACATGCATATCTTAATAATAACAGCACTGAAGGTGCATTAGGTGTTAAGTATTAGGACATAATGCATGCTTACATTTGGGCAATCTAGGCTGGGATGTAAATATCAGTTTAGTCAATAGTGACTCCTGGTCACGTGTAGCGCACGATGAAAAGCTGTCACAGAAACCATCACTTAAGAAAAGCATATATTTCAAGGGTCAGTCCCCTCTCTGTATCTTACCTTTTCTTAATAACAAGATCATGCCTATCTGAAAGTAAAGTTGCCAATGCACCAGGCAATCTGAGGTCCCTACAGCTTTAGAATTATAGCCATACCTGACCTAGTAAATTTAGATAATAACAGAAGGCCAACTTTTCTTTCAAGTTCATCGGAGGCATCATCACTTTTGGGAAAAAAAAAAAAAGCCTGGGCACTTTAAACTAACTTAGATGATGAGCCTGATATAAAAAGAATGAGACACTGGGACTGGCAGTGGTGTGGTGGTTAAGGTGCTGGGTTCCCCCAGAGCTGACCACAGTTCGAGTCCTGGACTTAGCAGTTTGCTTTCTCACTCTCTCTCTTTCTCTCATGAGTGCATACACCCTACAGCAAATTTAAAAAAATAATATAAGTACAATCAAATAAATCTTTTAAAACAAAGAAAGAAAGAAAGAGATACTGACTGGCTGGTCAACTCCATTTACATTCATAAATTATTATATTCCAAGTAAGATTATTATAGAAGTTTTCAAGGAAAATGTTACATCTTACAGTAATTAATACTCATGTGTAAGTGCTAAAATGTATATTAAGCATGAACATATAGTCTTCATTTTATAACCCGTAAACATTCAGGCATATTCCTTACTCTGTATTTTAAAATGCTATTCCTTACCTAGAATGCTAACGGCTAATCACTAACAAGTCTTGAATAAAGTCTCCATGGAATCACTAATGAATAGATTTATATGCCTAAGTAATGAACATCTCAAAGTTCTGATTATCGTGCCAAAGAAATCCCCTGTAGCTTGTATCGCACCACACCTACAAATCTGTACAAAGCAACGCATGTGCCATATATTCTTTCAAAATATGGCATTCTATATACAACTGTCATTTGAAATGTGTCTAAAATGTATTAATTTCCTGAGCATTAACATTTAAAAATTATTTTTCAAAAATATACTACAGATCTTAGAGACTCACCAATACCTGAGAAAATCTGCTTTTTCTTGATTTCCATTGGGGTTATGAAATTTACTATGTAAGTATTATACATTTATATATACTTCTTCAGACCTGAAGACATAAGTAACTACTGCTGAGGATGTAGAGGCATGGGGCAAGTTTCCAGAAGGAACCGTGACAAGTGGGAACAAAGCAGAGAGTGCTGAAGGTGCTAGGAAAAGCAGATATGCCCAGTCAGAACCAAGGCTGCGGGATGAAGAAGTGATTACTGGCTTTCAGCTCACCTTGGCCATTTGAGCTTGAACTCCGCTAGCCTTCAGGGCAGACACAGCTTTCTGGGCCGCTGCAGGACTGTCAAAGTCGACAAAACCGTAACCTGAAATGCAAAGCACACTCAGTTTCTAAGCCGTTATTTTATGATTATGTAAAGAGTAAAAGAATGACTGGTACTTTGTTTCTGACACAGGCAAAAGACATGAACACGTCCTGACAGATCTCAGGAGTGCATGGCTGCAGTGCAGCAGCTTCCTCGGCTCCTCTTTTCTGTCACTCACAAGCTAGACAAGCCTCCTCCAAAGTGGAGGGAGGGGAAGGAGAGAACCAGCTTTTTTCCCACTGGAGATCATCTTCTTTGGAGTCCTGTTACTGAAAACAATGACACTTAAGTTGCTAAGTAAGGTTAAATTATTTTTTTATTTTATTTATTTTTTTTCCAATTTATTTATTTGCATTCATTCACTGTACATCATTACAGCATACAAAATGAGATTTTCCATCCAGAGTACACTGTATATTGTCTCAATCAAGCACATCAACAAACATGTTATTATTAGCAAATGATCTTCCATTTCTTGTTTTCTGTATGTTTTGCTTTTTTCCCCCCATCCTTGGTTCCCTATCTCTTACCCTCTGCCACCTCCTGTTCTCCTCCCACACTGTCTCTGTTATCTATGTTTGCTTTCTATACCATTTCCCCCCCACATTTTATTGAATCACCAAAGACCCTCATCAATCCAAATACCCTCCTAGCAAACACATGTGACACACACATTTCCATGAGCACAAGTCTAACTTTACGCATCCTATCAAGTAGCACCTAACTGGGGCTACATATCCTACTGCAGTCATTGAATAGATATATTTTGTTTTCCTGAAACTCTTTTTTGTAACTCAATTTACATTCCTTCTCTAGGCATCATCACAGCACACAAAATGCGATCTCCCATCCAGTACACACTGCATAGTGACTCAATCATGCACATTACAAAAAATATAAATTTCCACTTCTAGTTGCTAGAATTAATTCCACCCCTCTTTCTGACCCTCTGTCCCTTCCCACCCTCCTCTCACACCACCTCTAGTGTCCAAAATTGTCCTCCATTCCCTTCCCACCCACATTGCATTGATCACACAATTTCCTACATAACCTGACTACTTTCAAAGGTGAGTTCCCTCGTTACTACTAAGAAAACCAGTTTTAACTTAAATCAAAGAACCGCCAAGGAACTTTGCTTAAAGCCCGGAAACAGGTTAGGATTCTGTTCAAATGGTAGGTGCATGAACCTATCAGTCTCATATACTTTTATCTTCTGTTCTGGTTCAATTTTCCTGATTAAATTCTGGGATATAGTATTCAACTCCAGACTTGTCCCTATGATTAAGTTAGCTACTTTCTCAGTTTTTGGACTCTTATTTCCATGTATCTGCGTTTAGTTTTCCTGATACAGCACATCCTTGAGAACTTCTTGGAGGTCTGGTCTGGTGCTGGTAAATTCTTTCAGGTTTTGTTTATCTGAGAATGTTCTTGTCTTTTCTTCCCACCTGAAAGATAATCTTGCCGGATACAGTATTCTTGGCTGAAACTGCTTCTCTCTTAACACTTGGAATATATTTTCCCATTCTCTCCTCGCTTTTATTGTTTCTGATGAGAGATCTGCTGTTAGCCTGATGGGATGTCCTTTGTAGGTAACTTGATGTTTTTCTCTTGCTAATCTTAGTATCTTGTCTTTGTCTGCAGTTTTGGTCAACCTGGCTATAATGTGTCTTGGAGAAGATCTTCTAGGGTTGATTCTATTTGGGGTCCGTTGTATTTCCTGGGACTGGATCTTTGAATGCCTCTCTAGGTTTGGAAAGTTTTCTTGCAGGATTTCCTGGAATAGATTATCAATGCCCTTATGGGTTTCCTCACCTTCTGGAATGCCAATTATCCGGATATTTGGACGTTTGATGGTATCCAGTACTTCTCGCATATTATTCTCAAATTTTTGTGCCATTTTCTCAGCCTTCATGGTGGATTTTTCTAGGCCAGCCATTTTCTCCTCTACATCTGAGATTCTATTTTCTGAATGATCTAGTCTGCTTTTAATGCTTTCCAGGGAGATTTTGACTTCTTGTATTATAGACTTCATCTCTAGCAGTTCGGTTTGAGTCTTTTGTAAAGTGTGTAATTCCACTTTTAGATCTTGCAGGAATTTCCTCATCTCTTGGAACTCGTCAATCTCTTTCTCCTTTCTCTTTAGTAGTTCATTATCTCTCTTCTCTTCCATCTCTGTTAGCTTAGACATTATGAATGATCTGAATTCCTTATCAGACATTTCCATGATTTTCACCGAACTGCTTGTGGATGAAGAGTTACTCTTTTCCCTAGGAGGAGAGGTATTTTCTTGTTTTCCCATGTTTCTCGTGATCCGGCGGTGATTTCTTGTCATCTGATGAATGTTGTGTTTTCTTTCAAATTCTGGAGGTTCAGCCTTAATGTTAAGGAGCAAGCAGACAGAGGTGATCCAGAATCTCTTTGCTGTTCTATTGTGCTTGCTGGTGCAGCAGATTCAGAAGATAGTGGGGAATATTTCAACCCTATTAGTATTTGAATGTTTAGCTACAGTGATCTTAGATCTGTCTAAAAACACACTGAAAGGATATTGGAGAGTGAAGAGACAAGAAAAAAGAAAACGAGACAGAGAAAAACAACAAAAAAAGAAAAAAAAATCAAAAA